TAATGGCGGAAGTTCTACCGGAGGGAAAAGTGGAAGCCATTAAAGCACTTCAGGCAAGAGGTGATGTAGTGGCCATGGTTGGTGATGGTGTGAACGATTCTCCAGCACTCGTTGCTGCAGATGTGGGAATGGCAATAGGAGTGGGCACTGACATTGCTGTTGAAGCTGCTGATTGCGTGCTGATGAGAAACAGTCTTGAGGATGTGATAACAGCCATCGATCTTTCTCGTCAAACGTTCCGGCGAATCCGTCTCAACTTCATTTGGGCCATGGGTTACAACATTATTGGCCTTCCGATTGCAGCAGGCATCTTGTATCCATCTCTGAGACTACGCATTCCTCCGTGGGTAGCAGGGGCAGCCATGGCTTTCTCATCAGTCAGTGTCGTTTGTTCTTCGTTGTTGTTGCGGAGGTATCAACGACCACAGATCAGAACGCTGAGACAGGTGAGAGTCGTCTAGCTTCCACTCATCCCCGTACTGCTTTGCCTGAATGCCGGCCATCTCCGTCAGGTATCTTGCGCTTCTACTCCGCTGGTCACTCCTCTTTTCCTTATTCTGTATAAATGTGCAGTGGTGGTTCTGCTTGAGGAATGAAGCGCATCAAAGCATCACAGCTGTCCATCTAACATGCCCGCTACCGTCTTCCCCCGAACATAACGCACCCTAAAAATGAATGTATACGAGCTATATTTCCGGCCAGATGCAGCCAAAGTAAGGGTGCGTTGTGTTCGGGGGAAGACGGTAGCTCCCTTCCATCCCAATCATCAACTAACAACCCTCCTGCCATCCGCCTGTCCCCACCCCCTCCTATCCCCTTGCAACCCTTGTAATAACCGATGACCACCTCCCTACGGCTTTTCAGGATCTTGATGGGTGTACGGGTAACCCTCCTGACATCCTCCTGTACTTCTTTTCATGAACGGCTTTGCACCGTTCCCGGTCATGGAAACGATGATTTCACCTCGCTACTTTCCGATTTTGTGACGATTGAAAGCCGTTAACACTGGCGAGTAGTTTATCAGCACCAATTCTGGGTTCAACGGATATCGCCAATGCGCGTTTTTTTCTGTATATCAGGCACGGACACATTCAGGATCATGTACTGTCACACACTGTCGTAGGAAGGAGCATCGTACATGAAATGCCCCTTGATCGCCTGTATTTTACCTTTCTCCCTATGAAGGCTACAAATCTCAGACTGCAGAGACATATATGTACTTACTTAACATATCAAAGACTGCAGAGAGGTACTTGGCATGAGATAAGTGCTGTCACTCACGTGTACTGAATCTCCGCAAATTTGTTGGTCTCTTCGATAGAAATTCTTGTTTTTGAATTTAAAATCTTCTACAGTGATAAATCTTGATGGTCGGGAGCCATCGATAGCCGCGCTCCAACAGATTACCTATTGTATTGTGTCTACAACTTCCACACATCCTGGTTTTCCCAGGAGCTGTATTTCAAAGTGTTTCTTGTTCATCCGTCTCCGACCAATCTCCCTATGAATACTATGTGAATATCCCACTTGAAAGAGGATCCCCTGAATGTAGGGGATCTCTCACCAGAGTTTTGAGCTCCTGCGTTCTCGCACACAAGTTGTCAAATGAGTAGTTCCCGATGATCGGGCAATCTCCTTTATCCATAGCCATTGGCAAGTGTCAGCTTGAATAGACAGACTAATCTCAGCTCGAATAGACAGCCTATTGATATCAATAGTGTTCCCTAATCTACGGTCTTAAGTTCTTCACTCTGGACTTTGTCCTCAGAAGTCCCTCTACCCTAATTGTGTAAGGATTGAATCTGGCTGTATGTTACGGCGAAAGTGGGAATCGAACCCACAAGGCTTGAACCCCTGTCACATGCTAGGTGCGGTGCAATTACGTAGCGATCCAATCTGTGGATTTAAGGATCAAATTTGGCTGTACCTTATGACTAATGGGACTCAAACCGCCCACAAGGCCTGAAGCGCCGTCACATGGTAGATGCGATGCAGTTATGTAGCGACAGGCGGCTTGAAATTCAGAGTGCAGATGTATTCGACAGCACATCAGCTCTGCAGCATGTAACTTGATCTCTTCTAGAGTCCACAGTCTGAGGTTTGTAACTACCGTCGTCACCCGAATAGAACGCCAGGCGATTATCACTGTATCTAGTCTAGAAGCTGCACCAAATACGACTACAATGACCGGGCGTTCTATTCGGGTGAAGACGGTAGCGGTTTGTAACTTGAGTCTTGAAGCTCCTGATCTGCAGGGGAGTTGAGTCTCCTTTGTTCGAAGGGGAAAATACTATATATACACAATGGCATTTGGGACCCCAGTTTGTTAGGTCCTCCTGCTCCCTCCCATACTGGCATGAAATCTGTGTTGGGATCCCAGTTGTACAGCGCAACTTTTGGTGAATCCCATGTGCCGGGCTCCTTCCGTACTGACATGGAATCGGGTGTTGGGATCGGGTGTTGGGATCGGGTTCGGGATCCAGTTTGGGGTTCTGGTTTGGGATCCAGTTTTGTATCCAGTTTGGGATCTGGTTCCAGGATCCAAGTTGGGATCCAGATTGGTATGTGCTCTGGCATCGGGATCGGGATCGGACATGGAACTGGGTGTTGGGATCCAGTTTGGGGATCTGTGGCACGAAGCCTGCGTTGGGATCCCAGTTATATAGCATCATGTTTGGTGAAGGGCTCCTTCTGTACGGACATGGAATTGGGTGTTGGGATCCGGTTTTGGTGATCTGGTTTGGGATCCGTTTCGGGATCCAGTTTGGCATGTGGTCTGGAATCTGGTGCAGGATGCGCCATGGAATCGGGTGTTGGGATCTGGTTTGGGGATCTCTCATATGAAATATGTATTGGGATCCCTGTTAAGCAGCATAACGTTTGGTGAATCCCATTTTTTGAGGGCTCTTTCTGTATTGACACGGAATCCGTGTTGGGATCTGGTTTGGGATCTGGTTTGGGATGCAGTTTGGGCTCTGGTTTGGGATCCAGTTTGGTATGTGGTCTGGAATCTGGTTCAGCACTCGACATGGGATCGGGTGTTGGGATTCGGTTTGGGGATCTGGTGTAAGATCTTGTTTGGGATCTGGTTTAAGGTCTGCATTGTGATCCAGTTGGGGATACGGTTTGGGGATCTCGTTTGGGATCCCGTTTGGTATGTGTTCTGGAATTTGGTTTGGGATTTGGTTTGGGATCTGGTTTGGGATCCAGCTTGAATATTTTCATGGTCTGCAGACCTTGGTTCCAGTTTTATAGGGCATTCTGCATCTTTACAGAATTCGGTCTTGGGATCCAGTTTGAAATCGCATTTGGTAAGGAGTGTTTGAAAATGACACGTCCTTGGCAGTTGAACTGCAAGGGGCAGTAGACAGAATAGCAATCGAACGGGCCAGCGTTGAGTCTGGTTCAAAATGTGAGCGGAGTCCATAAGGGGCCAGCATTGAGTCTGGTGTGTGTGAAATGCGGTCAAGAGAGACCGGTTCTGGGATCGATGCTTTCCATCCTTTTGATGCCACGCCGTCAGATTCTTTTATGTCCTCGCAATCCCACGGTCGAGAACTGTTCGGGATCCTGCTTGGATGTCTGAAGTCGTGTTAGCCTTTGTGGAGACGGACTGGCGGCAGCAGCTTGGACCCCCACCGAGGTGCAGTGGGGGTGGCACTGGGGGTGGCCCTGTGTTGTCAGGGATTGTGTTGCTCCAAGGTACTGATCATCTCTTGCCGAGCCTTCCATCAGATGCGCTGGATGTGGTGGCAACGATGTTCTTTTAGAAGAGCTAGTGAAACAGGCCTCCCACCGTGGCGGCGGGCAAACACCTGTTAGCGTTGTTTTTCTTCGGGAGGAGGAGTGGACCTTCTCCAACGGTGTACCGTTCGAGGACTGCCCAACCCTCCATCCCTGGCATGGCAGACGATTCTGCCGGAAGCTGTTGCGCCGAAAGAACGTTTGGAAATGCTTTCCGGTCATGTAATACTGTAGAATATTATAAAGTTATAAACTGCCTGGTCGACTTTTTGCGAAAAGTCGAGCCTGCCTGGACTTACAATAGAATAGGGTTTTTTTCAGTGTTAGGATATTAGATTAGGTGGTTAGAGAGAAAAGGAGTGCGCGGAGATATGGGGGGGGGGGGGGGGGGGGGGGGGGGGAAGGGGGCAACTGTGCTGGGAGTATTTGAAACTGGCTATTCGACTTCTACTTTGGACTTTATGTGAAAAGACAAGCTGGTCTTGTTTACGAACGGTCTAGCGGGAGTTTAGGGGTATACTCTCATGACGACTTCTTGTTTGACCGAATCTAATTGCACTCTTCGCTTGATCCATTCACATAATTCTTTGGGCCTTCTTTTGACCTACCTTTTGACTTTGATTTTGTGAAACTGATGCTCATCTTCACAGCCAGGCAAGCAGTAATCACAGGGCGGTTTTAACTTCACCACACACACACACACACACACACACACACACACACACACACACACACACACACACACACACACACAGAGGAGGAACTTTTTCGACTGAATTTGAACTTCAACCTTCATCAGATCCATTCATGTTACTCTGTGGGTTATTCTTCTGACATGCCTTTCCACTTCGACCGTGTGAAAAGCAAGCTTATCCTAACAAGCAGTTAAACAGAATTTGCACGGTGCTTAGAACTGAATTTGAATTGAATTCGGACTGAATTCGGACTGAATTCGGACTGAATTGGGACCAGCATAACTGCTCACTCGCCGTTTCCCGACTGGTCAAAAGGACCAAGTCCAACAGATGGTTCTCCAGTTCTTTTTTGTTTTTTAATAATAAAAAGAATGTGCTCACCCCACGGTATTCTTTAGTAAAAAGCGAAAGAATTGTACGCCGTCTGAGGAGGGCACACAGCGACATACCAGTTCTCTTTTTCAGAAGTTTTCCCTTTGAACTGCTTTTAACTTTTAACATCATGCGATTGATGAAGCCGTGATCTGTCTGAGGTGAATGCATGCGTGCATCTGTTGTTACTACCATCATATATCGGTAGGGGCGCGACTGAGACGAGGCCTTTCTGGGCCTAATCTGGCTGCTATCTCAGCCAAATACAGATATTTCATCAATTCTTACCTCTGATTCACACAAGGAGCGTGGCCACATACCGCTAATTCTTCAGTTTTTACTAAGTTGTAGAAAATTTAATATGTAAGTGGTGAAGTTTAGACTGCCTGAGGTGAATGTATATGCTCGCAGAAGTAGCTAGCACTGTACACTGTTAGGTGTTACGCACACCTTGAGTGAATTGCGCTGCCATTCAAGCCGGATACGTCCGTGAATGTTCTGTTCTGGTGTAAGTACACCAGCGGCTCTTCTTCCCTCCACTCCTGAGGGTTGGTGTACGTTTTGTCCATGATCCCAGCTCCGCTACTTTTTACATCATGAAAGGCCGTTGTTCATGTCAATCAGTTTTGATCTGTCGACAGTTGTATGTGACAATGGCATCAAGTCGACTGAAGTAGGTCGAGGCCGAAGCTTCTTAGGCTTGACACCCTGTGGCCTTGGTATTGTAGTGTCTGAACATATATCCACTTCAGCCCTCATGGACATACTTCCGATGTGAGGATGTTTTTATGTTAACATGGTGAACCAACTGCTGATTCTCAGTCAGCCAGGTGCAAAGTATCTTCACATGCTACGGGTGCTGCTAC